TAACTTCTTAGTGTTTTTAAAACACAGTTTCTTTTATATGTAGTAGTGCATTTTATTGTAATCCACAAAAGTGGTACCTAATTACTATTCATCTGGGCCAACCAATTTAATACAATTATAGGACTTCCAATTTCCAGAAACTTGGAGTTCCATGGAAGCTGTTTGGCTAAAACAGATAAGTACTTTAAGGTGTCGGTGAGTCACAAAATCGATCTTTTAAGTTGCCGTGACTACGTGTGCCATTAAGACTGCATAGTCCCAAAATCTGAAACATTAATAATGTTCTTGGATCTCGAGAAAAATGTTGTATTTGTAATCAGATTTAAATGGATTTTAAATGGAAAATCTATTAATTCGATAAATACTCACAAGAAAGAAAGAAAGAAAGAAATTTTATTTGGAACAGCATGTGTAAGAAAGATGTCCAGTGATAATAATCACTTTCTTACACATGCTGTAATAAGCTTAGTACATAACATGTTGTGCCAATGGTATCGATTCTAGCACGATTCTCTAAATCTAAACTTAAATTTAACAACAGTGTATCCTTGTCATTCTCTATACAGAATGAAAAGGAGAGACTGATTTTAAATTTAGTTTTAAGTTTAGAGAATCACGCCAGAATTGACACCATTATCAGCATACAAATTAATTATTATTTATATTCATAATTATTATTCTAATATTCAAATTACAAAAATCAAAATGTCAATACTGTTAATTCAATAATTAAATGTCAATAAAAATAGGCCAAAACTATAACTATAAATAACCTGTCAATACAAGCAATTCAATAATAAAGTCAATAAAATTGGGCAACTTAACAAAATGTCCATACCAGAATGCTACAAAAATCAAAATATCAATATAATAACAAAATGTCAATAAATTGGGCATATACTTGAAATAATATGTCAATATTTTTAAATCAAATATCATTAAATTTGGCAAAAACTAGTCAATACTGTCAATTTAATAATCAAATGTCAATAAAATTGGCAAAAACTATAAATAGATAACATATTAAACTTATTTGAAAAACTCCGTCTGATCAAAAAGTTTATTTAAATAAAAACATAATTAACGAACAAAGGTACTTTATGAATCGGGACCAATTATTGGGAATATTTGATTTATTCTAGAATATCTAATGTATCTTGACTGTTGAAATAGCCTTGTTCCTTACTAAACAGAATTATATACTACTGGATTTGATTTTGTTTAGTTTAGAAGTAGTTTAGTTATTTATTCAAAATTATATTTTGAGCAGATGTGCTTCCTGGCTTATTAAAATTTACTATTATATTTCCGACATTTTAGGTCAAAATGTTTATAAATATTTACATATACAGTGGTGGTCGTATAATTAGAAACCCTACGAACGGTCCTTGGCATTATGTAAGATTCTTCACCGCAATCGTTTTTATTTTGAAATTCAACAGTAAATAGGAAAACAACATGTTCAACGATTTATCATTTATTAGAAAAACAATATAAATCCCATTACACAGGTGCAGTTTCAATATTATATTACGGACAAACATTTAAATCAGTCTTAAGGTATGAACAATAATTGTCAACTAATTAGAAACAACAATAAAAAAGTATAAAAAACATGTTTTTTTAAGTATTAGTAATTAGTATGGTTATTTACGAAATAGCTTCTATTCACAGCCTAGCAATAGTTATAATTAATATTTAGTGGCGTATCCCTCATTTCCAATAACAGCACTACAACGACGTGGCATTGATGCAATCAATTTAATAGATTAGTGACAAAGTGCCAACTTGCGCTTTTGCCCTGGGGGTAGATGTCATCCCTTCTCGCGGGGGAAAATTATTTTAATAAAAATAACTCCAGGAATCGATAGAGAGACAAATTCTAAGCAAAATTTGTTATATAAAGTTTTTGGAATAAGTCAATAATTTCTGAGTTATTAAAAATACATGTTTGAAAGCGGTTTTTATGCATAACTCAAAAACTATGTGTTTTTAAGAAAAATGTATTGTTACCAAAATTTAAGCTAATAAAAAACAAACAACTGTTACTTTTTAAAAGATAAAGGGTTAATGGGTCCCGGTTACATGGTTCTCGCAGTAAAAGTAAGGCTTTAAACGGCTCTATCTCTGTTATTTTTTATCCTATAAAAATAAAATAAAAACCAAGATATTTGTTAAAAAAAGAATTCAAATTTGGTTATTTATCAGTTTTTTACGAATATCTATATTTTTGAAGTTATATTTAAAAGAAAATAAAATTTACGAAAATATGGAAATTTTCAATTTTTATTATATCATACTTTTTTTTGAAAAATAAACATTCTAAACCGGGAAAATTTTTTGAGGTCATCATTTATGCTGAAAAAAGAAAGTCCTTTAGGGACAACCATAAATTTGAATTTTTGTGGAAATGGTGAAGGTATTATTTTTCGTTTTTTCTAAAAAAATTATAGGGGTCATCTTATTTTTATCAAAACTTACTCAATGTTGATGCTATTAACTTGTTACAGTGCTCATTAGAGAGGTATTTTTAAGGACTTCAAAAGGTGTTCAGGAAGTATATGTCATAAAATGCATCGGTTTCCCGTTATTAGGTTTAAATACTTAGATTTAAGTACTCGCCGAAAAATAATATATGTTAAATTACCTATAGCTCACTTTGAGTTAATATTAAAAGGTTTTTCAAAGTAACCCTTGTTTGTTTTTATTTGCTAAAATTTTGGTATAATTTCTTTTTGTATAAACTCATAGTTTTTGAGTTATTTATGAAAAACCGCTTTAAAACTTGTATGTTATCACGAAAAATGATAGTGGTGTCGATTCTAGAGTGATTCTCTAAACTTAAAACTAAATTTAACATCAGTCTCTCCTTTTCATTCTGTATAGAGAATGGCAAGGATGCACTGTTGTCAAATTTAAGTTTAGATTTAGAGAATCATGCCAGAATTGACACCAATATTTGATCTTTAATAACTCAGAAAATATTTATTTATTCCAAAAACTTTATTTAACAAATTTTGCTTAGAATTTGTCTCTCTATAGATTCTGGAGTTATTTTTATTAAAATAATTTTCACCCCCAAGAACAAACTCACAGGGCAAAATCGCATGTCACTTTTGTTTCTTAAGGTATTCCTCACCTACTCACCTATTTTCATGAAAATCGATGGAGGTTCAACGAAATCGAAGGTGAAAATCCTCATTGACTGGACTAATCGGTTTTATTTAAAAAGGCGCTACCGATATCAAAACATCTCCTTTCTTATTTCAATGGACTACATTATTGTGGTATGTTTATGCAAGAGGCTGTTTTTTTTGAGATAGTAACGGTTTCGGATAAAATTATTTCTTTATATTTAAAAAAAAATATAAAATTTGTCAAGCTTTAGAACAAACACATCGCGTTAAATATCTTCAAATGGTATGAAATGCTAGATATATGACTTATATTGTGAGACAGAGGAGATCATTCTTGATTTTTTTTCCAAATAATATGCTCAATACCCACCATTGCCAAAGTTGCTTAACCTCCACGAACGCAAGCCGAACGCGCTAACCACCTGGGCTATCGAGCTCGGTATGTACGTACTCAATACGAATGCCATCAAAAACATAACTTGTAAAAAAAAAACAAGACAATCGCATGAAAACACAATGTATCTCACATATTATATTAAATTAGATTGTTGAGTGCGATTGCAAAGTCATTTTTTTTTATTTAAAACATACAAGATTTTCAATATTGATATGGTCAGTATAAGATGTTGTTAGGTGAGCTAATTTCGTAATAACTCAAGGCAAATGACACATGATAAAATTATTGACTTCTTAAACCACTGAGGAAAACATTATCAGTAAAACATATAACTTTAATTCACTGAAGTATTTAAATTCGCTATCCCCACTATATTAAATAAAATAAATATTTCCAACACTCACACCAATTAGCCTAGCCCCAAAGTAAGCACTATAAGGCTTGTGTGTGTGGGATACTAGGGTAACGGATAGAATACATATACTGTTCATATATAAGTATATTTATATAGAAATAGATATTAATCATCCATGACCATCCATGACCAAATGCTCGTATTCATCACACAAACATCTGCCCCCACCGGGATTCAAATCCGGGACCTCTCGAGTCGGCGACACCATGAAACTCGGTGTACAAACCACTCGGCCAAGGAGGTCGTCAAATGAAGAATGGATAAGCTTGAGTCAGTTACGCAGTGTTTTGTGACAATATACTGCGTTGGGTATACTAGGGTGTAAAAGCAATTAAATATAGGCAGTGTATCCGATAAAAGGCAGCAAAATCAGTTGGAAAGATTTTTTGCACAGCCATATAATTTGCAAAAAAAACTTTGAATATTGTGCATATAAATAAAAAAATAAAAACTATAAATAAGCTTTCAGTAGATATTTATAAATGAAACATTTAACATCAAGAACTGTTCATTCAAATATCGTTCATTCTTTTATTGTCGCATCCCTAATTTTGTGTTGGTGTACGCTCGAACAATTGCATAGTTACATAAAAATTGTTAGCATGTGTGCGTTTTTTTGTTTGTGTGACATAATTTTTGAAGTGTGCGTTTATAGCAACAACTCGCTTGTGTTTGTGGGAGTATTGCATATTTTCATTAGTGTGCTGTACGTGTTTACCTCGTCCCGCACCAAAAATGGTGAAAAATTTTGTTCGGCGAGTGACGCGTCTCCAGTCGTAAATGCTCTAAGTCCTCTAGTTTTAATTTTAGAGAATTAAGCCACAATCGGCACCAGTATATCATTTTCATTCTGAATAGTGAATGGCAGGGATAAACTGTTGTCTGTAAGTTTAGGTTTAGAGAATCCTGCCAGAATCGATACCATGAGTATTGTATATTGAAAATCGTCTTAAAAAATCATGGACTAAATTACAAAAAATATTCCATTCTTTGAACGCAGACTAAATAACGCCAACATTGCACAGATGAGAAATGTCAGTCAGTCAACGATGAAAATTTTGACAATTCGTTCGTTTTGCAGTGTTAATGTTAAAATAATAATTGCTAATAAATATCTGATACGTATAAATCACTTGATGATTTAAGAATTTATTTTGTCATCATGGCTTTAAAGAAAGTCAAAGGAAACTTTGAGAGAATGTTCGATAAAAACCTAACCGATTTAGTCCGAGGAATACGAAATAATAAAGATAACGAGGTATCTATTTATTTCACGAAGCAATTGATAAATATCCTGTCTACATAAACTAAGTACAATTGTTAAAATCTATATAATAATCTCTGTCCGTCTTATAGGCAAAATATATAGCACAATGTATGGAGGAGATCAAAGTAGAACTACGGCAAGATAACATAGCAGTGAAAGCTAACGCTGTTGCTAAACTCACGTATGTAAGTATCAAAGAAAAGAGTGCTTATACACAAACCTTAAAAACTGTTAGATTAACATACCTATTTTAATTGATTGAAACTACCTTATTTAATTATTTACATAAATATGTCATTATTGATGCACTTTTTTAGTGTAATTGAATAATAACAATTTTTATATTTTAGCTTCAAATGTTAGGATATGACATATCATGGGCTATATTCAACATAATAGAAGTAATGAGTTCTAATAAATTTACATATAAAAGGATTGGTTATTTAGCTGCTAGTCAATCATTCCATGCTGATTCTGAATTGTTAATGCTTACAACAAATATGATAAGAAAAGATCTGAATGCTCAAAACCAGTATGAAGCAGGGCTTGCACTCAGTGGTCTGAGCTGCTTTATATCCCACGACTTAGCTAGAGACCTTGCCAATGATATCATGACACTGGTAAGTGACCTAACTTCTTTTTTTTTGAAGATTATTAATAATAATGTCCCACATTGCTGCTATTGCTGAGTAAAGGCTTTCCCTAAGGACAGAATTGCATCAGCAAAACTGGCTGTCAACAAGGGAGGTACAGGGTAAATTAATGGGTGGTAACAAGCACAAATGCAACCAGGAACCATGGTGTAACATAGCATCTTAATTATTGATGAGCTCAAGAATGTAAATAGTCACAAATTTCATAAAATCCTTTCTGAAATTTGCTTAATCTAGATATTAGCATACAATACACACTGAACACCACTTAGTAAAGTTCTCTAATTGATTATGATATTTGTATTTCTAGATGAGTTCAACCAAACCCTACTTAAGAATGAAGGCTGTGCTTATGATGTACAAGGTATTTCTAAGATATCCAGATGCTCTAAGACCAGCATTTCCAAAATTGAAAGAGAAACTGGAAGACCCAGATCCTGGTAAGACATAGATTCTAAAACAATCACTGTTAATAGTTATGTCCTGTATGAGTCTCATTTTTAATAAATGATTATCGCAGGTGTCCAATCAGCTGCTGTGAATGTAGTATGTGAGTTAGCCAGGAAGAACCCTAAAAACTACCTCTCTCTGGCCCCTGTGTTCTTTAAACTTATGACTACATCTACTAACAACTGGATGCTCATCAAGATCATTAAATTGGTATGAAAAATCTCAGCTTTTCTAAGTTTTCTTTATTTACAAAAAATAGGAATATAACCTACTGTTAAGTAAACCTATCAAATTATGATTTGGTGAATATGAATTTTAGATTTAAATAATATCATAAAGTAACTTAAACATTCATAATGAAGTAAATCAATGACAGGCAAGTTTTTCTCAAGAAGAGTTAGCATTGCAATTTTTTTGTTATATACTTGTCTGCTGATGAAAATTGATGGATGGAGTCAGTAGTGGACTCTCAAATAAAAAACAGTTATTTATGTTATTTTATACATATACCTTTTTGATACTGGTTGGTATTACATACCCATATGTCCACATATATGTTACAGTTATTAAAACCTGTTTCTAGTTATAATGCTTTTTCTCTATTGAGAACTAGTTTTTACTAACTGCCTTTGTATTCTCTTCTCTATTTAGAGCTAGCCTTTGTAAAAACTGAAATTTCATAGTTATGTATAACTAGAATTACTATTTTGAATATTTAAATTTTAGATAAAACTAGTCCTAACATTGAACCTTAGTTAAAACTAGTATTAGAGAATCTTGTTGGGGATTGGAAATAGAGATATTAATTATTAAAACATAATTGTTGGGCAATGTTAAACAAAAATAATAATCTTACTAATGGGAAGGAGATTGTTATGGAACATCAACATTTGGCAAAATAACTTTTAAGTAAGTAATTAAAATAAAGAAAAGTAAAATACAGCTTAATAAAAACAAATATAAATTAAAGTAAATTTACCTATTTACTTGTTTGTTACAAATATTACATTACAAACTGTCATGGCATTTTGAGTTACAAAGGTTGCCTTTTTTATTTCGGAGACCCATTTTTTGAAACATGCCCTTTACCATGAACTTTAACATCAATTGAATCAGTTTTACTTAATCGTTTCAAGAAAAGGCCTTGTGCCTGGTAAGAAGTAGTTTTCACTCATATACCTTTTAGAACAGCAGTGAATTCTAGTTGTTACAAAGGCATTTAGTGAAAATTAATTTATACTAGGGAAAATGCATTGTAACTAAAACAGGTTTTTACTGTTACATATACATACATGTAGATCTGTAAGGTTTACCTATGAAAGTTAGTCATTTATCCAATGGTGGTGGAGGTAGGAAAGGTAGCCACTGAACTTTGCTTATATCCTTCTATGTACAGTGTACGCTCAGAATAGTCATAATAATATTTGGTGATATTTGAAAACTAGTTATAATTGTTGAATACAAATAAGGGTATTCACATTTCTTGCATCCTAATCTAAAATTCCATTTATGAAAGTTTTCAAATTATTATTACCAACCTACTTGTACATAGGTTTCTTTATTTATACAATGTGAGTTTGCTATTACTAGGTTTTCTGACTTAAAAGAAAATTAATTAAATAGTAAATAACTTAATTTACTATACTTTTATTGTAATGGCATTGGGCCTGATTCTGACATAATTCTCTAAACTTTTGACTAAATCTTGTTTAAAGAGTATGTTAGGGGTTTGCTTGGCTAATCACTTGACATTGATCTCACAAAATAAGTTATTATTTCTATAATTAAAAATGAAGAAAGATGTGGTGCTGTCTAACTTAGTTTTAGGTTTAGAATCAGGCCAGAATAAGGCCCATTAATTATATTAAAATTTCAAAAACATTTTTAATAGCTTTATATTCAGATACATTTTTTATGCATCGTTCAATATTTACTGCTTTTAGGTAAAGTTAACTGAGTCCATCACATAAAGTACAATCAATTATTTTTTATGAATATCTTAAAAGTGTAATTCAACAATTGCTTATTATGTGGTTAGATAGTCTGTTGCTATTAATATTTTTAAAAAGGTAAATGAGTGTCTTTTAACTGTAAATGTGTAATTAAACTATTAACTCTTCACAGTTTGGTTTAATGACACACTATGAACCAGACATTGGAAGAAAGATAACACAAAACCTGATAGATCTAATTTGCAGGTATCAAAAAAAAGCTTATGAAGATTAGTTGCTAGACCCATTCACTAACACACCTGCCTCACCATTCAAATTTATAGAACTTAGCTAAAACTCTACAAAACCTACACTTTAAAAGCAGAGCTGTTCAAATGCTATTATGACTGAGCCTACCATTTGTCAAAATAGCAGTTTCATCTTAGATTAAAATAAAAAGGGAAGATACGGCACTCGCAGCTCAAAAGTGATTCGCTTAAATTTAAAAAAAATCGCTTTAGTCACAATTGACATCCAAACACGTTGCATGTGTACTCAATATAATAATATTGCGTATATTGTGTGTTAAAAAGATAAAACAATGCCTTCTATGCTTTTATAAAGAATTCAAATAGTTCAAGATCAAATAACAAATGCCACAGCAACACTTTTCATTCGTAAAACTATAAAACATTTTTTTCTCAAAAATCACGATTTGCCATGAATGTTAGTTACTGATTCGCTATTTTTTATCAAGAAAAGGACAACAATACAACTCAGCTGTCTGCAGAGAAAGAAAAGTAAACGCATTCGGCTGCAAAACGACTCGAGCTCACGCCGTTTTGCTCGCGCTGCGTTGAAGCTTACAATTCTGTCTCAATCGCTCGATTGAATGTTTATTTACAGAAGTGTGCGTGTGTGAGAGTTACGTATGTAGTGGAGTCGGATCATATTTTATTTGATGCTACTATGAGCGTACCATATGTTCCCTTTTTGTTTTAATCTAAGGCCCGTATTACAGAATAACATCTAAGTGTTGATTGTTGACTTGAGTACAGTTGGAGAGGGATATCGCTTTGTAATATATATAGCGTCAGCCTTTTCTATCTATGCCCAAGACTAGATCAATCACTGAGATTTTTTTTTAATATGGGACTAAGAGTTTCATACTTTATTTGGAACTAAAATGAAGTCACTTTAAAAGGAACACAACCAAATTGGCACATCTCACATTTTGTATTATTTTTGCTGCTGTTATATGTCCATCAATCTTTTCTGGAATAAACTATATAAAATTAAATAATATTTTTTCTGATTGTGATACTTCAATGGAGTGTTTACAACATACCATCATCCCATAAGCTAGTCTTATGTAGTGACATTGTATTTGTTGCAGTTTGGTGCCTTAACCCCATTAGAGCCTCGACTTGGCAAGAAACTGATAGAACCATTAACTAATTTAATACATAGGTGAGTTAGTTATGATTGTCAAGGTGTAAAATTATATGTTGTTAACTTAGGTCTCTATGGGGTAAAGGGAAGTAGACAATATGCAACTTTAGAAAAGATTTAAAGATATTATATATTCTGTGCTAGTGTCATAGACATTCAAAGTTTCGAAAATATAAAGGCTCACTGCTTTTTTATTATATTTTCATTATTATAAAGCTTGGTTTACATGTAGCACCAATATAGTCTTGCTCTGCTTTCATAAAATGCAACTAAATAATTCACTTAGCTGTAAAGTTACAATCTTATTTATGATTGACCACTAAATCTGCAGTAATGTAAGTATAAAACAACATTCAGTCTCATATGTTTTATGCTACACGTTGTCCATAATATTTTTGAACAATAGTCTTTATCTATAGTCTTTCTGTTTGTCAGTCTATAACTTCTTCACGCTTAAACCGATAAATAAGATGAAAATAGAAATAGTTTGAGTCCCGTGAAAGGACATACGATAGCTTTTATCCGAAAAATCGACCTTTAAGGGGATGAAATGGGGATGAAAGTTTGTATGAGAGATCAATTTTTCCACGCAAAAGAAATCGCGGACACCCGCTGGTTCAGTATAAAATTCGTACTTCCATACCATCCATACTAATATTAAAATTGCGAAAGTGTTTCTGTTTGTTACCCCTTCACTCTTAAACTGTTGAACCGATTGATATAAATTTTCTCGCAAAAATGGCTGAAGGTTATTGGATGAAATTTGGTATACTTACATATAGTTTATTACCTGGATTGCGACACAGGATACTTTTTATACGGGGAAAGTTTAGATTTTCAAAAAGACTAAAGTTAACTCGGGCGGCCTCTGTTAAAAATGTTTACTTAATATTCAATGTAGATAAGCAGTAAATGTTCCATTTCTGTTAGTACTTCGGCGATGTCGTTGTTATACGAGTGCATAAACACCGTGATCGCGGTGTTGATCAGCATCAGCAGCGGCATGCCCGGCCACGCCGCCTCCGTGCAGCTCTGCGTACAGAAGCTCAGAATACTCATCGAAGACAGCGATCAGAACTGTAAGTCGTACTCTTTATTAAGACAAAAATGTTTTATTGTTGTTGTCATTTGCTTTGTTTGATCAAGAACTAAAGTATTACCGGCGCATAGGCAGGTTGCATAATTTGGGTATCATAAAGGTAATCCACAATGTATGCAATCATTAAACACATGATACGTACTCTGTTCATAGCAATATATATTAGTCGCTTTTTTGGGTCAATATATTAAATATATATATATACCTAGTCAGGTCATAAATTCTGGCACATGTTTAATATAAAATAAGTGAAACAAGTTTATTCATTATGTAACCATTTATATACCAAAATGAACTTAACAAAACATGGATTCTTATGACAATAAAGTTTATTCAAAATGACCTCCGTGATTTTGAACACAGGTCTTCAATCTGCGAGGCCAGTCGTCTAACGAACGAGGTCCATGTCAATATCGGCGGCTGCCTTAAGCAAGGATGTCTTGAGTGACTCCAAATTGGGATGAGGCTTTGAGCACGCCTTTTCCTTCAAGTGTTGCCATATCTTGTAATCTAACGGACTCAAATCTGGACTGGAGGAGGGCCAGTCTTCGTGCCGGGTGAAGTCGATTTCACGCGCCGACAGCCAGTCTTGTGTGCTCTTCGCTCTATGAGCTGGCGCTGAATCTTGTTGTAATACCCAGTGCCTGTTATTAAACATGGTATGAGAAACAGGTTCCACAAGGTTCGTCAGGACTGTATTTTGATACACAACTGCATTCGTTTTTAAACCTTTCTCACAAAAATGTACCTCTGTTAAGCCCAATAAGAAACTCCCAACCATACCATGAGCGAGGATGGAAAATGACCTCGTTGGACACGTGGAATACGGTTGCTCGCTTCTTCACTACTGTGTGTTCTTATCATTTTGTTTGTTGTAGCTCTCTTCTACGGTAAAAAATTTTTTCATCCGAAAAAAGTATTTCGCGATAATTTTTTCCCGCGTACCGCTTCAACAAAGCGCGGCATCTCTTCAGTCAGAAATATCAAGCAAAATGCAGTCCAAAATTATGCAGTCGTTTGTAGTCCTTGAGGTCCCCTTTTCGTAGAAACACGTAAATGTCCAGGTAAGTACCAAATCCAGCTATGATTAAGTAGGTAGTTTTCTTCAGGTTAAAATTTCCAAGTATGTTGACTCTTCAAGATTTGAATGTCTATTGACGCTCTACTGTCCTTCTTCGTCTCGCGCGTCGCCGGCGCCGTAGGCGCCGCGGCGTGCGGGGAATCCGTTCTAGTTTGACACTACTTCGGATGTGGCGGGTTCGCGGCCCGATTACGATCGGGTCGGTCCTTGGAGTCTATTTCTTGTCCCCCTCTTCACCACCGCCCTCGGCGCGGTCAAGCCCACCGGGTGAGACCCCTTGTGGGAGGCCCAGTGAGCGACCAGCGAGCAGGCGGTGGGCTTGGGTGGGGAGGGAAATAGGGTCTGTCTGTGTGTGGGTTATAGGGTAGTCTTATGATTGCAGGAGTCGGAGTTTTTTTTTTTTTTTTTTTTTTTTTTTTCCCCATGCTGTCATAGTCAGGTTATACATCTTCTTGTGGGCCCGCTCGTCGTCCTGCGAGCGGGGGCCGTCGTCAGGTTGGAATGAGCTCCCTTGGGAACGCTTTGCTTCGACGATCCGCTAGCGGGCGTTCGTGCGTTGGCGCGAAATCGCGCAAGTGCGCGTGCGCCGAGTCGTCCGCCCTTCTGAACTGGTTCGCTGTGATTCTGCAAATGAAATCGTTTAGACTTTCTATTTTTAGGTCTCGCTGAATAGTTGTGTTTCTCACGTAGTGGCCGGCTTTTGTTATTGTACGCAAAGTAATGTTTTGTTGCGCGTGCAGTTTCTTTCTGTTTTCATTTGAAAGCAATGCGTACCATGCCGGCGCGGCGTACGTGAGAATGGGCCTTAGGTATAATTTATATAAGGTGACTTACTTTTAAAGGGATGTTTCCTTGTAGCAGTGGGCGGAGCATAGCTCGTGCAGCTTTCGTTTTGCTTATCGCTTCGTTCATGTGTGCGCGCATGGTGAGTCTTGAGTCTATGGTGACTCCGAGGTATTTGGACTTGTTTGTCCAGGGGACTTTCTCACCCTGGATTTCAATTTGAGGCGGGTTGCGTAGCTGTGTGCCTACTACCATCGCCTGCGTCTTTGCAATATTCATCTTCATCCTCCACTTGTCCAGCCACGGTATAAGGGCGTCGAGTGTCGGCTTTAATTTGAGTGCTGCGTGATGGGGGCGGATAGAGGAGGCTATATACGCTGTATCGTCCGCGTACAGTGCGAGTCTGGTTCCGTTTAGCGCCGGCGCATCATTTGTGTAGACGGAGTATAGGGTCGGGGAGAGGCAGCTCGGTCAGATGCGTGTCGGTGTTGTCTTCGATAGCTTATATAAAAGTCCTTCGTGCCAAACTCTGTCAAAGGCTTTTTCCATATCGAGCATCACCACTGCTGAATATTCTTTTTTGTTCATATTAGTGGTGAACTCGTGTATCACCCTGGTCAACTGAGACGTGGTAGAATGTCCCGGTCGGAAACCATGCTGTTCAGGTCGCGGCGTGATATGTGGTGTGAGGTGGTTCAAAAGTAACTTTTCAAATACCTTTGACAGAGTTGGCAGTAGCGTTATCGGCCTGTAGCTGCTTGCTTGTGTTGGGTCTTTCCCGGGCTTGTGAATCGTGATGATTTTTCCTCGCTTCCAATCGGTGGGGAAAAATCCGGTGCGAAGTATGCCATTAAAAATGCGGGTGACGGCGGCTATTGTTTTTTTGGGTAGGAATCTCAGTGCAGTGTTAGTTATGCCGTCCAGGCCCGGCGCTTTTCTGAGTTTACTTTTGGCTATCTGTTTTCTAACCTGGGTGGGCGAAATCGTGATGGGGTCGTCTTCGTTAGATAGTTGTTTGGACAGACAGCTAATCACGTGAGACTGTGTAGCCATCACGTGCTCGCTGTCTGTCGTGGGGTTGGGAGAAAATTGCTCCTGCAGAAATTCTGCCAGCAATTCTGCTCTGTCTGAGGCCGCGTACTTTGGCTCTCCGTTTTTATCCAGGAGCGGTCTTACTCTCGGTTTGTTACTTTGGAGTTGCTTGCAGAGGCGGTATACGGATGGCATGTCGTCGCCCACTGCAAGCAAGTGCTTCTCCCATTCTGTGGAGGCGTATTCCTCCATGGCGTTTTTTATTTTGTCGGTCAAATGGTTGATTCGAGCTTTTAATATGGGACATCGGGTTTCTTGCCACCGCCTTCCCAGTTTACGTTTCTCTTGTATTTCGTTCGTTATCCGGCTGGGTAATGTTTGGTCTTTGTTACCTCGAGCTCGGGTGTGAGTAGCTGTTTTTAGTGCGGACTGTAAGGCCGCGGTAAGATCCCTCGTGGCTGTGTCGACGTCCGATGGCGTGTTGATGGGTCGGGTGGGCGTGTTCTGTGTCATCTCGGACTGGAATTTCTCCCAGTCAATGCGATGACGCAGGGCGGGTCGCCCCACCTGTGCTGGGATTTTGTCCAGGGTAAGCATTATTGGTCGGTGGTCCGAGGGGAGGTCCGCCATCACTTCCTGGGTGATGGGGTTATCAACCCCTCTGGTCACCACCACATCCAGTATGTCCCCGTTTCCCTCTCCGTCATATCGAGTCGGTTCGTCTGGGCCTAACACGTCATAGTTGTACGTTAGTGCATCTGTATGTAGGGCTCGGCCTGTTGCGTTCGTGATTTTTGAATTCCAAATTTGGTGTTTAGCGTTAAGGTCCCCTGCTATGATAGTAGGTAGCGGATGTAACAGATCTCGGAGTTCCTTAACGCTAAGCGTTGTTTTCGGTGGTTTGTAGGCGGCGTAAATGCGCGTGTTCGTCCCGCTTAGGTTTATGTCAACACCGAGCGCATATAGTGTTTTCAACTGTATCTTAGGGACCGGCTGATGGATGATACGTTGGTGTATTAGTATCAGCAGGCCTCGTATTGGAATTCCCTCGGGTGAAGCTTCATCTTGGCGGTAGGTGTTATAATTCCGGACATTGAACGCAATGCACGGTTTTAGCCGGGTTTCGCTCACGAGCGCCAGGTCTACGTCGTGCTCGAGCAGAAAATGCTCGAGCATTCGGCGCTTCCCCGTGAGCGATTGAGCGTTCCAGTGCATTACTTTCAATGGCCGGAATTTTGGGCCGTAAAGTTGCGGAAGCATAATTGGATTTGCTCGCTAATCATATTAGAGAGCATTTGTTGCATCTCCGGTGTAATTAATGTTTCCGGTGATATCTGTTTATGTTTTTCCGTCCCTTTTTGTTGTTGTGGGGCGGCGGCGGCGGTAGGTATATAATTTTCTGGCATACCTTCATTGCGGGCGGAGTCTGGGCCGGTATGGGCGTGGCCTTTCCCTCTCTTTCTCTTTCGTTTGCGGGGCGGTGCGTTTTGTGTCGGGATTGAGGGTAGACGCATTTTGGGGGCGTTTGCTGGTGCCATAAGTGTCGCTGTTGCTGTCTCGCTCACTTCATTTGGCTTGATGGCAGCTTTCGTAATGGGGCCGAGGGAGGGGCCAGTTTTGGCGACTGTACTTGCCTTTGTATTTCTCGCCTCTTTCTTCGCAATCGGGCAACTCGAGTGGTTGGCCGGGTGAGGGCCCTTACAGTTGGCGCATGTGGCTGGGTCTGTTCTGGGTCTTGTGCAGTCGGCGGCTGCATGTGGTTCACCGCATCTAACACAGGCTATAGGGCGGTGACAACCTTTCGAAGAGTGCCTGAAGCCTTGGCATCTATGGCACTGGGCGGGCCCCTTTTTTCCGCGCCAGGCCTCTATGGTGACTCCAGGCATGCTCATTAGTTCTGTTACCTGGTATATGTTGGGCAGCAATCCGGGTGTTTTGAATAGTGCGGCAAAAAATATACAACCCGGTCTGCCTGCTCGCGCTCTAATGCGTTTTGCGTGCTCCACGTTGTATCCTTTTTCCGCTAGGGCCTGTTTTATATGTTCCGGTTCTGTGTTGAACGGGAGGCCTCTAATAGCTACTTT